TCCGCTACACTCGTTTGGGTGTCCTTAATTTGTTGTGACATTGAGCCCAACTGGCTCACAATCATGTCTAAGGTTGCTTGCATATGTGGGGGATCCATGGTGGGTTGCTAGGGAACACTAAGGAGGGCTTCTAAGCAGCTAACCACACTGATTTGCTCACTAACAGGGTATCAACAGCAGTGGGGAAGTTCTGGACAGCAAACTAATACAAAGATCGTCGCTTCCTAATCACCTGAGGTAAATTCTGGAGTGGGGACAGCAGGTGAAAAGCACTTAAGATCCACCCTAAAGGCTACTACTAGGTGCAGGAAAACTAAGGAGCAGCAGGTTTAACCAAAGGTTAAGTTTTCTAAGTGTTTAGGGAAGGTCTTAAGGTGTGGACAGCACAAAAACAGCACCTTCAAGTTCTCCTAAATGATGTCAGTAGTTGCTGGAATCGAGGGGGCAGCAACTACAAACACAAGTCCAAGAGTCCTAAGCAGTTTGAAACACTACGGACTCAAAGGCAGCACCTAGACACTAGCTAAGATGACTTAAATGCTCATGAACGTGTGCAGGAAATGCAAAAACAGTAACAAAACAGTGAAGTTTTTTTCTATCTAAGCAATGATATGCATGCAAGTTTTGAACTAACACAAGAAACTAGACCCTAGGATGCTTTCTACGCATGCCAAGCATGGTAACCATGCTCTGATACCAAATATGATGTGATACATTCAAGAATTGCACATGAAATTCATTAAGAATCACAAAGTATACCAATGTAAGATTAAGCTTTCGTAAGTTAAGATTCAAGAAGTTTCCGTTAACGAAATATTATGATAAGCGGTTACAAGCTAGTGTTTAGACACAATTAAAGAAGGATCTCAAAGTTACACAATAAAGCAAATGTGGAAAATAATAGAATTCCCACGGTTAATGTCTAGAAAGTTCACAACGAGTACCTTGCTCACTCACACTCGAGTCGGGCTTAGCGGGAGAAGGTTTTTGGCACACTTAACAATGCCACGAAGACGGTAGCCACACCAATGGCCTTTAGCCACGGAGAGGTTGACGGTGACGAGGATGGCGTGAATGCTTGACTGTCGAGACTCCAATCGTAGCGTGAAAATCGTCGATCGATGATGCTCACAAGAATCGGGACGACTCGCTCCAAGTATTCTTCAACTGTGGCGTCGTCTTCAAATCCTACGTCGAAGCACGGAGATCGTAGGATATTAATGCTTCCGTCGGCGTTGAACACAAATCCCCACTTAAGCTCCGGATCCGCCATACATGCTTGGCGTTGGAGAATCTTTCAAGGAGAAGAGTATGAAATGGCGGTGAGGGAGAGTCCTTGAGTTGAAAGGAGGGGGAGGAGGTGGAGAGGGGAGCCGGCGGGATTCCAAGGGGGGATGGGGAGTTCGGCCACGGTTGGGAGAGGGGGCGGTGTATTGTGAGGAGGAATTTAGGTTGGGTGAATGTAGTAAGAGATTTACTAAAATCTGAAATTAATCTTAGGTTTTAGTAAATTTGGAGGGAATTACTTGAAAGAATTTCAAATTTCAAAAGTAATTAAGGGATTTAATGAGCCATTAATGGGGCTCATCAAGGGGGGTGGCCGGCGGCTATTAGAGGGAGAGATGATGTTTTAAAATTCTTAAAACTGAAAGTTAATTTCAGTTTTAAGTAATTTAGGAGGGAAAGATTTTGAAATCAAATTATAGTTTCAAAAACGATCACGACATTAAATACGCCATTGATGGGGGATTTCTCCATGGGTGGCCGGCGGCATGCATAGAGGGAGAGAGAGAGGAATCCAAGGGAGAAGGGTTTCCAAATTAGGGTGATGATGTGGCAATTGATCTCATAACCCCAAGTTACATCAAATTGAATTTGAATTTCATGACGAAAGCTTTCCTAAATTGGAGTTCCAAATTAGGAAAGAATTCGGAATTTGAAATTTTCAAATTTCAAATTTGAAATTTGTGCGGGAAGGGGATGGGGAATGAGGCCGACGGTTGAGGCTTACCAACGGATCGAGGAAGGTGGGGTGGCCGGCGGCTAAGAGTGGCCTAGGGCCGGCGGGTTTGGGGAGAAGGAAGAAGAGTGGGATGAAGGGGGTAAACCACGAGCCACGGACTCTTCCAATGACTGGTGGGTAATGCTTTTGCCCTCACCTCGGGCTTTCTCTCTCACCTCTCTCTAACTCTCATGCAAGAAGAGTAAGAAGAAATAAAATCAAATTTTCATTCAATAATTCATGAACCTCAATACAACTAGGAATAACCTATATATAGGTCCCAACCCAAAAGAAAAATTCAAAGACTATATTACAATCATGACTTAGCTCATACTAAGGGTATAATAGGAAACTCCAAGAAATAAAAGAAAAATGCATAAAAGAAAATACATGAATAACTAGAAATATAAACTCTGAATCGTGGCCATCGATCTACGCTGTCTCCGGCGATACATATGCTTGAATCTCTGATCGATGTCCGCATCATGGAGAAAATCGCGAGTGCGATTCTACGGAGAGTCGAGACGTCGAGATGGGCAAAACTGGGCAGATGGGCGGGATTTAGGGCAAAAAACTGTTTTGAGGGGGGTTAAATTTCCGAAAAAGCCACCCTTAATGAATATTTTTTTTTTCAGGGTGGGCAATTGCCCACCCTCAGCACACCATGGATCCGCCTATGTTTGTGTGAATAAATGTGTTGTTTAACGACTCATCTAAAGTTTTGTATTTCACTCTTCTACATCGTATCAACACCACATTTTCCTCATCTATGAATGAATACATGTGATAGATTATTCTTATTTTCTATTCCACTTCATGTTTTTCACAGGCGTAACTTTTTTCCCTCTTATTTTGATTACTGACAAATTTGGTAAGCAGTGGATAGGGGCTATCTAGGATACATTTAACTGTTTTGTTAAATTAGGGATTGTAAGGTATGGAAGAAATCCAAATGTATGAGCAACTTGCCCGTAGCTTCCAACTGGCTAAGGAAGCACTGACTTTTTAGGCATCGTTTGGCTTGACTACTGTTATTGGCGAAAATTTTAGGAAGTTGTTGTAGGTAAAGCTGAATTTAAAAGCTTCTGTAGTTGAAGCTGTTGATGCTATTTGAATGTCTTGTTATCGACGTGCTGCTCAAAACTCAGAAATTATTTTGTCTGTTTGGTTAATAAGAATGGGGCTAGAACCCATGATGGCATGACTTCAGGATTATGAGTTTAAAGTTTGAAACATTACGCGAAAGCCTGGTTCATAATATGAAGATCTGAATATTTTCTTTATTTTTTATTTTTTTATTTTATATGAAGATCTGAATATGACCAAACTATTTACATAGATTAGTGATAGGAAATACTTGATTTCAAGTATTTCCTAATCACTTTGGCAACAAATCTCAAAGCAATCTGCTGCCCACAGCAGGAAATCAGCCAAAAACAGTAGAAAAATAGGGAAAAACCGCGGAAGATGTGGAGAAAAGACTTGTATTTTACTAGTAGATGCAAGACAAATAGCAAAGATACAAGGATCCTCTATTCGA